TAAATCCTGGAAGAAAGCAAGCCTCCAATAGTTAGAATTCATCAAATGAATCTCATAAAATATGTATTATTTATTTTATTTTTGCCATACCTTTAACCAAAATAATTTGATTTCTGCCAAATAAAAATAACATTAATAGTAGTTTAAATGGCATTAAAGAACCCACTAACCGTAACCCATCTGCCAAATTAACCACATTCATAGTTAATGAATTAACTACTTAGTCATATATAATGTAGAATTTTATTTGAAACCATTGTTTTGAGACTTCCTTCAAAATATTCTCATGCTATGGCACTTTTTAAAATCTAGTGTAAGAAACTTGCATGAGACAGAAGTTTCATTTAAATACAAATGACTGGTGAATTATATGTCATCCAATATCTCCATATCTCACACTTTCTGTTCTTTTGATGGTTTGGAACACCAATACATTTGGAAGAGAGATAGTTTTCTAGTTATGCTGACCATGCACTGAAAGGGCATTTTGTCTTATCATATGTCTTTAAAATGTTACTGTTTTAGTCACTTTCATCTTGTCATTCAAGCAAAAAAAAAAAAAGAAAGAAAAGAAAAGAAAAGAAAAAAAGAAAGAAAGAAAAGAAAGAAACCTGACTAAGCTTCTATGGAGGACAAAAGTAAGAATAATCGCCAAAAGTTATCAGTGAAGTAAGCATAGGCTCCATGAAAATAATGAACCTCCAAATAGTTCTAGTGTCTAATAAGGAAGTAGTCTCCTTTGAAAAATTGTCTGTTGCAAATTCAAATAGAGGAAAAGCAAACTTCTATTAATGATACCATAGGAGGAGTTTGTATTTTGGAAAAGAGAGTGAACTACAGTGTGCTTCTCTAACTCAGCAAGGTATGGAAGTCAATATAAAAGTTTGTCAATAAAACAGATTTTAGGGTTGCAAATTCATCTATCTTTATTTAATATGTCTGGGATATTGAAGTTTTCTTTCTTTTTTTTTTCTTTTTTTTATTACACTTTAAGTTCTAGGGTACATGTGCATAACGTGCAGGTTTGTAACATATGTATACTTGTGCCATGTTGGTGTGCTGCACCCATCAACTCATCAGCACCCATCAACTCATCATTTACATCAGGTATAACTCCCAATGCAATCCCTCCCCCCTCCCCCCTCCCCGTGATAGGCCCCAGTGTGTGATGTTCCCCTTCCTGAGTCCAAATGATCTCATTGTTCAGTTCCCACCTATGAGTGAGAACATGCGGTGTTTGGTTTTCTGTTCTTGCGATTGTTTGCTGAGAATGATGGTTTCCAGCTGCATCCATGTCCCTACAAAGGACACAAACTCATCCTTTTTGATGGCGGCATAGTATTCCATGGTGTATATGTGCCACATTTTCTTAATCCAGTCTGTCACTGATGGACATTTGGGTTGATTCCAAGTCTTTGCTATTGTGAATAGTGCCGCAATAAACATACGTGTGCATGTGTCTTTATAGCAGCATGATTTATAATCCTTTGGTTATATGCCCAGTAATGGGATGGCTGGGTCATATGGTACTTCTAGTTCTAGATCCTTGAGGAATTGCCATACAGTTTTCCATAATGGTTGAACTAGTTTACAATCCCACTAACAGTGTAAAAGTGTTCCTATTTCTCCACATCCTCTCCAGCACCTGTTGTTTTCTGACTTTTTAATGATTGCCATTCTAACTGGTGTGAGATGGTATCTCATTGTGGTTTTGATTTGCATTTCTCTGATGGCCAGTGATGATGAGCATTTTTTCATGTGTCTGTCGGCTGTATGAATGTCCTCTTTTGAGAAATGTCTGTTCATATCCCTTGCCCACTTTTTGATGGGGCTGTTTGGTTTTTCTTGTAAATTTGTTTGAGTTTTTTGTAGGTTCTGGATATTAGCCCTTTGTCTGATGAGTAGATTGCAAAAATTTTCTCCCATTCTGTAGGTTGCCTGTTCACTCTGATGGTAGTTTCTTTTGCTGTGCAGAAGCTCTTTAGTTTAATGAGATCCCATTTGTCAATTTTGGCTTTTGTTGCCATTGCTTTTGGTGTTTTAGACATGAAGTCCTTGCCCATGCCTATGTCCTGAATGGTACTACCTAGGTTTTCTTCTAGGGTTTTTATGGTATTAGGTCTAACATTTAAGTCTCTAATCCATCTTGAATTAATTTTCGTATAAGGAGTAAGGAAAGGATCCAGTTTCAGCTTTCTACTTATGGCTAGCCAATTTTCCCAGCACCATTTATTAAATAGGGAATCCTTTCCCCATTTCTTGTTTTTCTCAGGTTTATCAAAGGTCAGATGGCTGTAGATATGTGGTATTATTTCTGAGGACTCTATTCTGTTCCATTGGTCTATATCTCTGTTTTGGTACCAGTACCATGCTGTTTTGGTTACTGTAGCCTTGTAGTATAGTTTGAAGTCAGGTAGCATGATGCTTCTGGCTTTGTTCTTTTGACTTAGGATTGTCTTGGACATGCGGGCTCTTTTTTGGTTCCATATGAACTTTAAAGCAGTTTTTTCCAATTCTGTGAAGAAACTCATTGGTAGCTTGATGCGGATGGCATTGAATCTATAAATAACCTTGGGCAGTATGGCCATTTTCACAATATTGATTCTTCCTATCCATGAGCATGGTATGTTCTTCCATTTTTTTATATCCTCTTTTATTTCACTGAGCAGTGGCTTGTAGTTCTCCTTGAAGAGGTCCTTTACATCCCCTGTAAGTTGGATTCCTAGGTATTTTTTTCTCTTTGAAGCAATTGTGAATGGAAGTTCATTCATGATTTGGCTCTGTGTTTGTCTGTTACTGGTGTATAAGAATGCTTGTGATTTTTGCACATTAATTTTGTATCCTGAGACTTTGCTGAAGTTGCTTATCAGCTTAAGGAGATTTTGGGCTGAGACAATGGGGTTTTCTAAATATACAATCATGTCATCTTCAAACAGGGACAATTTGACTTCTTCTTTTCCTAACTGAATACCCTTTATTTCTTTCTCTTGCCTGATTACCTTAGCCAGAACTTCCAACACTATGTTGAATAGGAGTTGGATATTGAAGTTTTCAAAGTGTATTTTGGACAGTCATGGCCTTGTTTTCTAGAAGCGACATCAGTGGTCACCATCTAGCAAGGAAGATAATTACATGGGTGGGAGTAGGTAGGATTTTGGAATGCCAATCTATATTACAGTCCAAAAAATTGATTTTTTAAAAATTTAGGAATGTTGTTATTAGAGAAAGATTTTCTTCTCTTACAAATGGTAAAAACCTCTCATCATGTATCACCTTGAAGTTTGTTTGTAATGTGAACATCCTATAAGATATTATAATCTATATCACCACCATTTGTAATAAATTAACTTCACCACTAGTAAAAGTGAGCCGTTTTCATTGGACATTTAACACAGCAGCTTTGGGACAATCTGGGAAATCAAACAATGATGTTCAGTCTCCTGCTGCTATTCACTTGGCAGATAGAAATCACTTATCTTAGTCTAGACAGAGAAGCTATCTGCTCTGCCATTGCATCCAGAGGATGTGGAGGTAAACAGATTTCTCTACTAGAAGTTCCTTTTTCTGCCACAATTTATTTAAATATAGGAATTTAAAGACAAATCAAACAGCAATGCTACTGTGTCGTGTGAAGGAGTTTTCGATTATGTATCCACAAATACAGGGAAGATTTCAATAGGAAATCATGTCAAATAATATTTCTCCTAGCATCTTATAACTTTAAAATTCATCAGTACAAATACTCTGGAAGGTCTCTAATGTTCCATTCAATCCTTTGACAAGGAAGGACATGCAAAAATTATGATGAGTTGTGGTTGGGGAAAGAATTTAGAAAATCTGAAAGAGAGCCTGTTTTTCTATGGAGAACCCCTCCGAAATCCAACAACATCATTAAATAAATCTTAATTTAAGAATGGCACAGCAGAGTAACTTTGAAATCCTAAAGAAACAGAATATAAAAGCAATATACTGTGTTCATATTCATTCACATGTACATTCAAAAAAAATAAATTTACAGCCTAAGATATTTGATTTTCCATAGACATCTACCCATGTTAACTTTATTTTATTTTTCTTATTTTCATTTTTCTTTCTCTACTTTAACTGGCTTAAATACAAAAAGAAAAGAGCAGCCTGAAGATACAGAACAACAGTTTCTGCTTTGGAGACAAAGTGTAGATTACTCAGGTCAAATAATTTATTTCCTCAACTGACTCATCAAAAGGAAATTTATATTGGAAGAGAAAAATAGAAAAAAAAATCAATAGCCTATTATACATTATTAGCTGTTCAAGAGCAAAATGAAATATTATATTTCCCAGATTCTCAATTAAAGCTTTTTGAAAACTGATAAAATTAAAAATATTAGGAGTAATATTTATTATTTTCATAATTTATAATTTGTGTTTGAAATTCTGAAAACATAAAAGAAGTCTATTCTTTTTTTACTTTTTCAAGTGAAATGAATCAAATAAGAGTATCAGGATTTAATATACAATATAGCAGCAGTCCCCAGCCTTTTTGGCACCAGGGGCCAATTTTGTGGAGGCAATTTTTCCAGGATGGGCGGCAGTGGGGGGAACGTTTTGGGATATAACTGTTCTGTCTCAGATCATCAGGCATTAGATTCTCATAAGGAACACACAACCTAGATCCCTTACATACACAATTCACAATAGGGTTCCTGTTCCTTTAAGATCTAATGCCATCACTGATCTGACAGCAGATTGAGCTCAGGCAATAATGTAACGCTCGCTAGCAGGGCCCTCACCTCCTGCTGTGTGACTCTGTTCCTAACAGACCACGGACTGGTACCAGTCCCTGTCCTGGGGATTTGGGACCCTGTAATACAATAATGTATCTTTCCACTTAGAGTTCTTCTAGCTTCAAGCAAAAATCATAAATAAGGTGACATCAAAAAATAAAGAAAAGGTGCTGATTATTTGAATGTATTAAATAATTAAATATTTAGGAGCCATACAATATGCAAATATTCACACTGATTGTTAAAGATTTTTTATATTTTATTGCAGTTAGGATTTTCAGAAATAGCAATAATAAATTTCCCTCATTATCATACAGAACCACAGGGCTATAGGGAAAAGGGTTGTAGACAGAGTAGAATTTTTCCTGCATTATGAAACATTTCAGGAATTGTTCATTAAAGGAGAGAGTTTGCTTTGACTCATTAGTAACTCTTCTCTACATAAATTAAAGATTTATTTTATAATAATAATCCCCAAACTGGTAATATAATTTATGTTTTCACAGGTCAGTTGACAGTGAATGTCTTTGTTCATATACATATGATTTATTAACTTGATTTTTTTAAGTAAAATTTCACAGTCAAAGGCCAATCAGCTTAGGAAAGCTATCCTGAATATATATAGGCATTTTGGATTAATCCGTGCCTTTTATAAGTTTGAAATTACTGTAAGAAGGCCAGTTTTTATTTTAAAAGGAGTCAGAAAAATTTGCTAGTATTGGGTGTCTTCTTGAACAGTTTATACCTATCATTGCGAACAGTCTGCTTCTTGGTACTGAACATTTTAATGACACAGTGGTGAAGTGAACCTTGGTGGAAGATATGGAGTTAAGAGTAGAGAGCCAGGAATGGATGGAGAGGAGCAGGTAGCGTTCCCCTGTAGCTTTCCAAGCTTGTCATTTGGCCACCCATCTATCCTGCACAATTCCTTGAAGGCTGTCAGTTTGAAGAAGTTGTTTGAGAATTGCTCTCTGAAGTATCCCAAGATTCTGAAAATAAAAATAGCAGCTTTTATCCACAGGGATGAGAAAACTGGACTAACTGAAGGAGCCAGAATATGAAAATCCAAACTGAAAAATACTATATTTTTATCTTTCTTGATGTTTTCTTAGTTGTGTGTCTGACCTAATATATTATTAAAGAAAAAGAACATATGATCCTAAATATTTTGTTAGAGAGGTTGCAAAAAGCTAGAATAAAACGCAAGTAGGTTAAGTTTCTAAAAATGCACATTGGTTAGGTAAAACCTTAAATGTTACACAAATTAAGAATAGACTCTTACTCTTCTAAGCATTAGTTTTGTATTTGATTCACACTGAGTTGTGTTTTCATGACATCAATATTTTTATGATCATTAAAATAAGACTTTTTGGTTCTATAACATATTTAATTAATATTTTTAAATAATTTATTATGTACTTTCTACTTTGGCTGATAGACATGAGTTTCTAAAAACATAATAAAATAGTTTGTACTACCCAAAAACTGTTCAGGCAGTTTAAGATAATTGATGTTGAGATGAGTAAACATGGCAGTATATTAAATAATAAGTATTATGTAGTTATTTAATTATAGAATAGGACAACATAAATAAAACATGGCATAATAATTAAGTATAATAAGCTTGACTCATATACGATGTTGTAATAAGGAAATATTTGGTAAACATGGGGCCATTCTATGCCTATGTGAATAAACAACTTTATATTAACATATGCACTATTATGTTTATGTATAATTGGCATAATTTGCCTCAAACCTCGCACCAATAAGTAATTTTGAATGAAAACAAATTACTATGAAATAACTGGTCCATACCTACTAGATATATGTAGGCCTGACTTCCAGTGATAGAGAAAATGGAGGTGATAGCTATACTGCATCTGAATATAAACATACATTTATACAATGAAAGTATACTCAGAAATATAACACTGAGAGTTCCAGCCAAGATGATGGGTTGAACACACACTTCTAATTCTTCTCCTTCAAATTTGCCTTGACATTTCAGAAAATAATTATTTGTTAACCGAATAATGCTATGCAGCCATAGAGACAGAAAAAAAAAAAAAACCTCATTCGCGTGCCAGCGTGCTATTTAGAAATATGAATTCAAAGGCCAATGACAACTACCAAAAGAGTTGAAATTGGTTGCCTCTGGGAAAAAAAAGATAAAATTGAGAAGATTTCTGCTATCTTTTCCCTTGTAATATGTATTTTGTTTTAACAAAATTATTTAGTTTTTCATCGTGTGACTATATGTTCAATAAACACAAAATATTAAAAAAAATTTTTTAAAAAAAAAAACTTCTAAATAAGCCACTCCCCCTGCAAATGGGCAAAGGACCTGAAAAGGCAATTAAGAATAGAAGATACCTGAATGACTAATGAATATATGGAAAGGAGCTCAAAACCATTAATCATCAAGAAAATGTCATTTCAATTCATAATGCAATACTATGACACCCTCAGTATGACTAACAACAGTAACAATGACAAGACAGAACCAACTATTGGTAAAGATGTTGAACAAACTGAATTTTCATACACAGTTTTGAAAAATGCAAATTGGTACCACCACTTTAAAAAACTATTGGCAGTGTCTCCCGAAGCTGACCATTTGCAAAACTTAAGACCTAATAATTCCTTTCTTATGTAATTCCCAGCAAAAGTAAAGCTCATTTACATTCATATGCCCATAAAAAGACATACTCTGGAATCTTCATGGCAACACTTTTAACAATTACCTACAATTTTAAACTATATGAATGCAAATTAATAGTAGAATGGAAAATGCATGTTGATATATTCATACAGTTAAATGCTGTACAGTAATGAGAATGAAAGAGCTACAATTACATGAAATAATAAAATGGTTAGATCTCACAAAGAATGTTGAGGGGAACAAGGCAATCGTCAAAAAAATATACACTATAAGATTCCATTTATATGAACTTAAAACCCAACCCAACTAATATATGGTGTCATCATTCCAGATAGTGTTTGGCTCTATTTAGTGGATTGTGACAGAATTGGAGATCTGGGTAAGGTTAATAGGGTGCCAGTAGTGTTCAGTTTCTTCAGTTGGGATACTGATTATGTGAGTGTGCCAGATTTGTGAAAATCCATAAAATTATGATGAGAACATGCTTTTGTATCTGTTAATTTTCAAGATAGAGTTAAATATAATTAATAAAAAAGAACATTTCCTAGAACTAAAGATATGTATACATCCTCAAACTAAACCAAACAAATGAACAAAAAAACCCAAAGTATTGACAAGCAGGCTGAATGATCATTTGAGTAGAGACATGAATGACAAAAAAAGAGTCCGTTTCAAGAGTTTTCCATTCAGAAATGGCAAATAGGAAGGTGCTATGGTAGAATCATGACTAGCACGTTTTGAGGAAAAAAAAGAAGTTAGTTATAGATGACAGAATGAGAGTGCTCAGAGAGAGATCAGATTATAAAAGAACTTTGTCTTTTTTGTTTTGTTATGGAGTTTAAATTGTATTTATCATGAGGGTTTTACACAAGGTAGTGATATAAACTGATTTACTTTTTTAAAAGATCACTTTGGGTGTTTAGAAGAGAACACGTGAGAGGATAAAAGATAGAGATTATTTAGAAAACTATTGTATTAGTCTCTGTGAAAAAAGATGATTATGACTTGAAAATGGGTTTTAGCAATGGAAATTAATAAAAGTGAATAGAATCTGGATATATATTAGAGGGAAAAATGCTAATATCTGCTTACATATTTGTCTGCTTGAATAAGATAAAGACAATTTAAGAATTACTCCCAATAGTTGACTTGGGCAGTTGCATTGATGGTGGCCTTTACTGAACTGGGTTGTATAGGGGTATCAACAATTCAGAGTAGCAAGGAGCAGGATGTTTTGTTTATGTTGAGTGTGAGACCTTCAAATAGATTCTTACAGCTTCCTGCTTAAATACTTTAAATAATAACCAGTTATTTTATAGCAATGATAAAATCATCCCATGGTTAGATGAAAACTGAATCCTCAGATCATTCACTACACCTTTAGAAGAGGGCCAGTGACTTTTCCAAAACTTGCTTGTTTCAGAGATTTTGGATTCTCTAAATGATGCATCCATGCAGTCAATATTTTCTTTCAGTCATCTGTGTTTTTAACATTAATGAATTCAACATGGTGCTGATATCCATGTTGACTTTAGTCTATCATCAAGTGTTTGTAAATATACCTTGTGCCAAATTCCTCTTCCCTTAGGAGAGGTTGCTTATGGGAGCTTGCTTGGGCCCTCCTGTAGGTATTTCCATTAACAGTTTGCCCTGCTTGTCCTCCAGATTCACATGCCTGTAACTGAATTAGACGAAAACAAAGCCTGGGGCTAGATGATCATACCTCATAACTCTTACCCGATAAACCATTGCTGTGACTGCAAAAATCTTTACAATAATCTATAAATCTCTTTCAATTGCTAGAAAAATGAATAATCCCTTACTATAATAATTTAATGTCTCTAATGATCCACTTTTCATTGAAAGGTGATAACATTTTCATCAATGAAATAGGTTTATGTACCCATCTCTCTAGTACACCAGGGACTGGGTACGATAAGCCAAATTTCATTCCTCTTTAATGAAAATAATTTCTTTATTAACAAGGTTAGAATTTCATTTGCTAACATTAGGTCTTCAAACTTCTTTGCATATTCAGGTGTTCGTGAACTCTATTAGTAGAATAATGGGTTCAACAATCACTTCACATGGGACTTTTCACAGGATCAGGGAGCCAGTATATTTTCATTAACTAAGTTTATGAATATGGATTGTCTGAATTCCCAGTCCACTGACATTAACTACAAATGTACTGTAACATTAAATGACTTTGTTTCCTTTCTATAGGGAACCCAAATCACGTCCATGGAAGTTCTCTCTCTTTCTCTCTAGAGCGTAGTAGCAAAAATAAGAAACTTTATTTTTCTTTTCCTTTCTTTTTTTTTTTTTTTTTTTGAGATGGAGTTTCACTCTTGTTGCCTAGGCTGGAGTGCAATAGTACAGTCTCAGCTCACTGCAACCTCTGCCTCCCAGGTTCATGTGATTCTCCTGCCTCAGCCTCCTGAGTAGCTGGGATTAAAGGCATGCGTCACCACTCCCGGCTAATTTTGTATTTTTAGTAGAGACGGGATTTCTCCATATTGGTCAGGCTGGTCTCGAACTCCTGACCTCAGATGATCCGCCCACCTCGGACTCCCAAAGTGCTGGGATTACAGGCGTGAGCCACCACGCCCAGCCGGAACTTTATTTTTCATAACTGATAGTACATTTTCTATGAAAAATAGTTACTTCGCTTTGAAATTTATTTCTGCAAGTTGAGGTGTCTCATTATTTCAACTTCTATAAAATTAAAGAATTATTTTGCTTTTAATTAGCATAGCTATGTGTTTGTATCTTATCCTTTGTGTCTATTCCTGAATCTTCAATCATAATTTGATGTAATCTTAAAATGCTGACCTGACATGAGTACATACAGAGAAGTGGCATAGGAAAACTCTAATAGGGTAAATCACTGTGAAACACTATAGATTTGGGTTTGCAACACTGAATAAATAATTAAATTATTCAAATACTAGTTCACTCCTTACAGTAGAAATTATTTTAGTTAATCCATTCATTCTTTAAATAATCATTTTACACTGGCTTTTCTTTAAATGTTGAATGAATTAGACACTATTATGTTTTAGTACATTGTTAGAGTTTAATTCATAATTTTATCCTCAAACAAAACATATTTTGTGGCAAAAGTAGGTAAGATAAAAGTAAAAAAGATGGCTTGACTCCCATCTTTATTTAAGTCAGACCAAAGCATTCCATAAGGCATGGTGCAAGGAAGTGGCTAAACACTCAATAGCTAAATTATAGAGAGTTTTATGTGTTATGCTAGAGGACTTACACACACACACACACATATACACATGTTCACGCATCTATTTCCTTGAGTGAACATTTCCGTTTTCTAAACAGTTCTGCTAGCCTTCTGTTTCTACATTCTAACCAAGCGAGCAGAACTAATTAGAAAATGGTAAAGAATGCCAACATGGATTTTCAAATTTCTGAGTAATGTTTTGAAAAATAGAAAGCACTTCTCTTAGAAGCAGTTGCTGTTGTGTGTAGCGATATATTGGATGACAACATGACCTGAAGTTGAACTTTCAATGACTTTTTTAAGCATAAAACATATTAGGGAGAATCACTTTGTTAAGTTCCCCAAGCAATCTAATAAAATATTTCTAATTAGTAATTGTTTTGAATATGAAAGCTTTCTCCTCTATTTCTCTCTTTCTCATCCCCTCCCTGGAAACCAAATCTCAGGAAACTTGAATAGCTGGACCATGAAACCATAACAAAATAGTTTTTATCCATCTGTTGACCAGTAAAGTACATAGGAGGAAATGAATTACCTGCTTTAAGCCACTCTTTGAAAACCCAAATATAATTTGATGGAAAATGTCACACTCAACTTCAGGTTTTCAGGGTTCATCAGCTTGCAGACATGGCTTTATTAAAAATTAGGCGTCCAAATGATATATTTTGTTATCATATCTAAACATCCTGGCTGCTGCTCTGTATCAGATTCCCATAAAAGTACAGAAAACTAAATGATAGATAACTATGTGGCTTATTTTATTTCAAACAGAAAAATTCAATTTCTGAGAAATGAATTTGTGGAAGTTGGCCTTGACAAATATACAAATTAAAAATAGAAAATGAGCAATATATGTGGTAATTTAATTTATTACTTTGTAAGCTACATCTGATACATCTCAAGGAAAAGAAATTATTTTAATGTGTATAATGTGGTACCAGCTAGTTCATATCTGATTTTGGTAAAGTGGAAAGAAACCAAGAGGGAAAAACATAGGCTAGAATTGTATGGATTAGGAACAGAATTGCCTAAAGTATTAGAGGGTAGTTTGGATATTTGAATAGCTTTATTTTTCTTATTTATGAGTATTAATGCAAATAAGTCATGTGACCTTCTAGGACTGAAACCCCATTAGTCCAGGACTATATATTTTCTACATACTGAACAGCTAGCAAAGACCTCACATTACTATCTTAATCTCTATTAACCTCTGGCTGGTTGTAACCATTTTTGGCTATGCTTCCCAATTCAAGTTACTTAAATTTTATTGTTTCTGAGAAGTCATGAACTCTTGATTTTTGTTTCTCTCAAAGTAACTATTTTACCTTTTTAGTTAAGTAGCTTTAATGTTAAGTTTAAAAAATAGTTTGTTAAAAATTTATTTTAAATCACCCAAGACATATATTGATATTGGCTCTTTACCTCTGTTGGGCACAGAAGCTTTTTTTTAAATTTGTTGGGCACAGAAGCTTTTTTAAAATTAGTTTAGGAGACTACTATGATCTCTGGACATGAAGGTGTGATCTCGTGAGATTTAAGGCCTGCACAATTTTGTGTCCCAATGAAATAATTATGTCCCCTCATAGCAAACAGATATTATCCCTATCTGATTTGTCTCAGGGTGTTGTGGGTGGATTAATTTGGCTAATGGACCAAATCTGAGGCTGAGTCTACATACCTCAGATGTTAGGAAAAACTAGGGTCCCAAGCTCAAATATAAAAGTGTGTACCAAGGACTATGTTCTTTTCAGAATGAGAGTTTCTTGAGGGAGAAAACTTGTCTGTTTCAGCTTTGCATTTTCAGTTCTCAGAACAATGTATGGCACATAGAAAGCAAACAGTAAATGTTTCAGAGGTGAATGACCACATGGTGAACTGAATGAATGGATTGATTTATGAACCCATCAATGACAAAGATCATGAAGAACCCAAATGCTTTCTTGGTGCCTGCTTTTCTACTGGCATTTTGTTGGCCTACCTTTACATTTCCCTTGATCCTTTGACAATTTTATGAATTTATTTAGTCATCCCTATTCACATTTTATAAAGGATAAAACTGAGTCTAAAGGACAAGAAGTGGTGTACCCACTAAAAGAAAAGCAGTAAACATTGGAACTCAGATTAAAGTACAACATTCCACCTTCAGAATATAAATTTCATAACTGTAACATAGTATATTGGTACAGTATATAATAACTATATGTATGAATAGGCTCTCACAGGTGACAACCAAATGTATCAATAAATATAAACATACTTTGGGTATTAAAATCCCTGTAAAAATGTCATAATGACTTCCCACCTCTATATTCTGATATGTGAGGGCACTCATCAGGATTTGTTTTCTTTATTTTAGTCTATTATAGTATTTGGCATCCATTAAGAAAATACAAAATACCAAATGGTCTCCAGCTTTTATAAAAATAAACTTCCCTGAACACACAGAGCCAACTCTAGTCATCTCCTCATCTGATCTTCCATAATTACATATACTACTTATATTTATCATATACTGCTTTAAAAAAATACCCATGGGTTCTTGGAAAGCAAGGAGAATACCTCTCATAGACCTGTGCCTCTCATCAAACTTCACCTGGATTTCCAGAAAATAAGTGCTCTTAAATTATTGTCACTCAAGATGTTTGTAAAAGACTCAATAATACAGCTTTTTTCATATTTTTATTAAAAATAAAAAGTGTCTACTCAGATGTATATATTTTGTTCTTTCTTTATTTTGAAGCAAAGAGCAAAACAGCTGAAATAACTGTGGAACTCAGTGTTTAATAAAACTGATTATAAATCTGAGCTAGTACTAAGCATTTTTATGCCAAGTAGAAATATTCTTTAGAAAGTTCTCAAGTAAACATATTAGGCATATCACAGAAATATATTCCTGCTTTGGACTGTTTTACATCATTTTCAAACTTTTTCTGAACACCTAATTGTATATGGTGTTGTATTACATTATGTTACAGACAACTGCAGATATCCAGTCCCAGCACAGCCAGAGTTGGGACAACTTTGAAACTAGTGTTCACCAAAGAATATTGATTCTGATAATTTGTTAACATCTTATAAATCTTATTAGCACAAGTGCTAGAAGAGTCTCTCCCTTTAATAAGCTAGAGGCAGAAGTGCAAAAAATATTTTCTTTCTTTTAAGTAAATACCAAGACATGTCCTCTTTTCCACTATTAACCTAGTCAGTATGAAAATACTGGAAGATGCTTTTGCACAACTAAAGACGATATAGTATTACTTCCTGGGAAGAAGTGGCAAGGGTACTATGTTTTGTTTAATACTGCTACAGCCTATAAAAATCGACTAGGCCAAAGGGATGAATTCTTGCCTGAGGAGAGGCAATATCCCACAGGCATTCTATAGCCCTGTTTGGTTGCTAAGGAAAATGCCCCCATAAAACTAACTCTGCAGGCCTTTCAAATTAGAAATGTCATCAGCCATTACCTTAATGTCAGCAGACTTTAACTTAATGAAATGCATTTCATGCTGTTATCACAAAATGCACTTGTGAGAAGCAATATGGTATTAATACAAATAATGTAACAAACAGAGATGTCTTGTTCATTGATTTAAAAAATAACTATATTCTCTATGTGCATAAACACATATCAGTACCAAATTCAATTAGCTTCTCACTAGTACTTATAGTTGTACACTCTTTTCCTGTACTTTCATCTATTGTTTCATGCAGTGGTTTTGCAGGTAACCTGTATCCTGGATAAAACGTGAATTCCATCTGTGAGTTTTTGAGATAAACGTGTCAATGGACCCCTGAGAAGAACGAGGTGATGACACAATAGGATCAGAATTATAACTCAAAACTGGCAAGTAATTTGTGCCCAGAAACTACTTTCATGTTTACAGGCACTTGAATTTGATAAGGATTTGCTATTGATCATCACCCCTTATTTATAATGCAAGGACCTTGGTGTCAAGGAGTCTTGTTGTTTGCAAGAGATTGTAGCACCATCACAAAGTGCCACTACAGCACGATAGGTGTTGTCATATGAATGAGAAAGAGGCACTGTATGCATGCTGAATTCTCTGCATCACTAAAGCCTCAATGTAGAGTCTGAACAGATAATGATGAGTGGAATCTGTGAAACTTCAGTGCTTCTAAGCTGACAATTAGGAAGGATAGCATTGCTGTAATTTAAAGAAATAATTAGGACTCACCTTGAATTATCAAAAGAAGTAACTCTCCAGCTTCCATATGATGGACAGGTGAGTATAAACCTAGAAGGATGCCAGACTGTATTACTTGCTTTAATAACATCTCACAAGACCTTAATTCCTCAAAGTATTTCTTGAAAAGGTGCTTGAAAAGCTAGAATGGATCTTACATGTCCTATTGAGTGACCCATAAATCCCTTAGGTAATGGTTAGAGAATGCAACATTTGATTTTATTCTAGGTGGAACAGTTCAGGAATTCAGAGTTGCTGCAGAGGTGGTGTTCCTGATGGAGGCATGTTTTTGAGGTTGCAAAGAAAAACTTGACTTTGGAGAAACTTGACTTCATTACATGACTCTGAAAGAGTGAGTGGTCTTTTAGTGATTCACTCTATCGGCCTTTCAGTCTGTAAAGAGTGGGTTGCCAGTTAATCCAGTCATGAAGGTTTCCAAAGAGATCTGTACAAGGGAAACATAAAGTGCACATTAGGCTCAACCACACTAAAAGATGCCCCAATTAAGTTGGCAATGTAGCAGAACTGGCTATGCAGACAGATCTGTTTGAGAAAAATGTAGTGGTGGTTGACCCTCCATAAAATGGTAATCATCTCCTTATTTCCTTATTATTTTGTCTACGTGTTGGGGTCAGATATTCTAAATGTTCTTTAAATATATTTTAGGTGATCCTAGTGTTACACATTTGAAAATGATAATGTGGCACAATTTTTCCTCAAAATATAACCACAATCTAGATGCTTCAAATACACACCTTTCTAAGATTTGATGAAAGACATGGTGGATTCATTGGCAGCTTCCTAATACCTATTTGATAAGTGCATCCTTTGTCAGGATGCTGCCAAGATAGTGCTATTTAGTGACAGGCTTCAAATGTATACAGCCAATATAGAGCTTCTGAGGTTATTAAAGTTCTTCTGGAACAGAGTAATGGATGGCTTTAATCCTTTTTAGGCTGGCTATAAAGTTGTAATACTCTGCTGACTCTGCAAAATAACCTATAATATAGACATACCTTTTCTTATGTGCATGTTTCCAAGATCTATTCATCAGCTTAATGACTGATTTTCCTGAGGTTGGTTTTAGGGCTTGGAGCCAATCAGACTGAAACTATTTGGGAGAAAAGGAAAACATTTCACTGTCAAATACCTTGTGTATCTTAATAAATTATATATATATCTATATATCTATATATATCTTAATGTTGTTTTGTACATGTTTTACAAGTACCATCTTATCTTGACTTAGTAAGCACTTCCGTTCTCTCATGGTAGGGTTAATCCAAAGCAAATCTTCAAATTAACTGGTATTTGTTATTGGTATCTCCTCTTCCATTGAATCCAGAAGCAAAACAGTGTTTTGGCAATATAAAGTTTCTGATAGCACCTCGGCTATAGCTCTCTTCTTCCCAGCAAGCCTTACCTGAACGCATGTTTCCATTCTCTCCTAACCCTGTTCTTTGCTTTGTAGGGAACAGCATTTTGACAGGTCAAAGAAGGCTAATATGATAAATAGCTTCAGACATTAGCCTTCCAATGGTGATTTCATGTTAATAGCAAGCTCCTAGAATAAATGTCTCAAATTAAAGGGATGAATTGTTGAAGATGGCACTTCATAAAATGCATCTGAACACTTGGGGAGAACTTTTGAAAACAAAGTCCCTCTCTATTTCTTGCAAATATTTACAGATACATCACTATCTACTCTGACTGCTTATAAGAGTATGTACACATATTTAAGAGTAACACTGAGGCTGCTTTTTTTTCTGATATTCATGTTTGTATATACCAACAAATGCAAATTAATATTGGCTCATGATTAATATTAATTAATGAGAAGATTATTTTACTTAGAGTTTAAACTCTTTGAAAACTAGCTCCCAAATTAAAATTATTTGGGCAGACTTGACTAAAACTACTATACAATCAAGTATGTATTTAGGAAAACACTTATAAAGAATATACCCAATTTTGACTGTATATGTATGTATCTGTGTGTGTGTGTGTGTCACAAATGGATATATATATATATTTTATATATATATAAAATACACACATTCAGAGAGAGAGAGAGAATTAAAATAGCGTAAGGTTTGAATTGTGCAAAGCTAAGAATTAGTCAAAGAAACATACATATGTTTCCAAAATAATTATACAGATGTTGTTGTGAAAAAAAGAATGACGAGGCCAGGTGTGGTGGTTCATGCCTGTTCAGCATTTTGGGAGGCCAAGGCAGAAGGATCACTTGAGGCCAGGAGTTCAAGACCAGCCTGGACAAGAGAGTGAGAAACCATCTCTACAAACATATATATATGTTACGTATGTTAAAAGTTAGCCAGGCATGGTGGTGCTATTTATAATATTTATATATATTTTTATATATTTATTATATATATTATATATATTTATAATATATTTATTATATATTTATAATATATACATTATATATATATTTATAAATATTAAATATATTAAAATTAGCCAGGTATGGTGGCACTCACCTTTAGTCTCAGGTACTCAGCAACTTGGGAGACTGAGGCAAGATAATCACTTGAGCCCAGACGCTAAAGGCGGCAATGAGCTATAATCCCTGTACACTAACTTCAGCGATAAAGGGACACCATGTCTAAAATTTAAAAAGAATGACAAGGTATAGAGTCATAGAATTATTTTAATTATTGTGTATCTTTCTCACACATACATGCAACTCTACCATTATTATAACAATTGGTGTCAATAAAGAGTTTGGCCTTAAACTCTCAAAATTGATAGCATATGAGAGATAAATCTAAAATCCATCAAAATACTTATACATTCCAGCAACTTGTTTTTCATGTGGACAGACGTGTAGTTGTTTCTTTGGAATTTCACATAGCCAGCTATTTGCCCTCTGCAAAATGACTGTCATTTGAAAAAATAATATGCTGTTATGACATTTCTGGAAACATCAAACTATCTTAGAGAATAATATTAGACTTTGTCAAAAGCCACAAAAAATATGACATTTCAAAAACTTGGACACTGAAAACTTTGTATATATTTTATGACCTTTTAATGTGTCTTACTCATATGGATCTTTTAAATAGAAGCTAAATACCTTTGTGGCTAGCATTTTTCTCTCAAACTCGTTTCTTCCTGGCAGCTCTGGGTGCTCCATAGAGGTATGTACCTTTCCTGCTTGGGCCCTGGCGGCATTTTGAGCACACTGATTTCTGTCAGAGACCTTCAGGCAGTAGCCTCGGGTTGACGTGTGAAATGCACATTGTAACACTGAGTTTGTCAGCCCTCAACAATCTCTGAAAAGTGGAAAATCTTGGAGATTCCCTAGGAGAAATGAAAGAGTAAATCTGCATTGAAAAATTTAAAAATAGCTCCTTCACCTCCTCATTCCCTTTCCAGTCAAGGTAATATGTACAAGGTATGAAATCCAAATCAGTGTGGCAGAAGTTGGGACTGCCATATCACTTGCTTGATCTTTTGATGAGATTATGTCACTCAGCTATGAGCACTAAAAGTAAGGAAACATAACTGCAGCGTTCTAAAAGGAGGTCCATCAGATGAAAGACACTTAATTTATTGTATTTATGGAGGCACGTTTGCATCATTGAAATTGGGAAGTCCACTGCTGAATAGATTTAATAACTTGAGTAGTAACGTTTTCATTTCTTTAAAACAGCTAAATTTCTTTCAACTAATATGCAGTAAATACTTACTATGTGGAAGGTATTCCACAAAACAAATATTAGAATTTAATTAAAGATTTTAAATTAAAATAAAATCATTGAAATTTTAGTTTTAAGCAACATAAAGTAAGCACTCATTATCCTGACTCTTTCACTGAATACTGTTATAAAATCTGGATGGATGCATGGAGCAAGTACGAGAAGACTCCAAAACTTAAATAGTAGCAGATGGATTAGAAAAGAAAGTCAAAATACAAAGTAACGCTGAAATGACTGTGAACTTATCATTTATATCTACCTGTGTTGTATCTGTCAACCTGATCTCAGAGCTGCTTAAAACCTGGAAGTGAATACCAATGAAGAAAGAGAGAGCTGCAGGAGATGTCTTCTGGTTCTAGTTTGAGGAGTCAGAAAGAGGACTTTGAATGGTAATGATGGCTGTAGCATGGGCCTGCAGTTACCTAAAACTGTTAAGGAGGGGAAAGTTCTTTGATCGGAGAAGTTGTGGTATTAAGAAGATGAGGTAAACGTTCATTGCTTTTACTATTTTTGTCCTTCTGCCATTTGGCCCCAAACATGGTTGCAATGGAATTAAGAATTTAACAAACATGGTTAAATACAATCCAGCTCCCTGACTCGGGGGTATAAAAGCAAGCCCCGAGAAAATCAGAAAGAACCAAAAAGATTACAGAAAGAGAAAAGTTTAGGAAGGTGATCTATAAAATTGCTTGTTAATCTTCTGGGTTCAATCCTGATTTGAGTATGCATGGATCTGATGTTAAGCAGCACATTTTGAAAACTGAACACAGATATAAGCTATCACTTATGTCCCAGACTTGCCACTGGATGACCCGCATACAGGAAAGAGTTAAATAGCACAGAAAATCTTCAAAAAGTAAACTGAAATTAGCGCCACAGCATACAGGTTGGAACTTGTGACCAAAATCTGTATCAGTTAATTGCCTACCACAACAACCAAATACATATAATTTAAATAAGACCAAATGGCTCATAACACAACATTCAAAATATGCAGGATACAATTAAAATTTTTTAGATATAGGAAAAATCAGGAAAATCTCAACACACGTGGGGATGAAAAACCTATATACTAATGGAGTTTGCAATGTATGTAGATGTAATATATGATAACTACAAAAAGGCAAGTAAAATACCTATATCATGGTAAGTTTCTAATCTTCCCACTTGAAGTGTAAAATGCTGATTTAAAGTGAATCATGAAGAGCTAAATATGTACACTGTAAAAACTAGAGAAATCACTAAAGCAAAACAAAATAAAAACAAAACAAAAAATCCAAAACTATACAAAGGGATATGGTTAAACACCCAATAATAAATTAAAATAAAATACTAAAATGTGTAAATCAATGAAAAGAAAATAAGAAAGGTGAAAGGCAAATAAAAAGAGGTAAATAAAGAACACAATTGTAGACCTACATCCAAACATAGCAATAATCATATTAAGTATAAATTGTCTGAACACACAAATTAGCTCACACATATTATCAGAATGAATTTTTAAAAATCATAATCCAACTAGATTCTATATCGTAATCCAACTAGATTCAAAAAACTGACTTCTAATGTAATGATACTGGTAGTTTAAAATGAAAAAAGATGGAATATAGGTATGTGTGTATGTGTGTGTGTGTGTCACACATGTCAAACTACACAAACCATAATCCAAACAAGACCAATAATCTGATGTGGTTTATACAAATTTCAGTCAAAGTGGAATTGAGAGCAAAGAAAGTTAAAGAGAACCTGTAGGGATATTACACAATTTTAAAAGAAAAAAAATCTCCAAGAAGACATAAAGGAAGGAAAAACTGACATAGCAAAAGGAACTAGACAAAATCTACAATTGTAGTTGGAGACTTCAACTCTCTCCAACTGGATTTAATTACATTTATAGAACGCCACCCAACAATAGTAGCAGGCACATTTTTGTCAAGTGTTCATGAACACTTACCTTACTAAATCTTTAATTTGCCTTGTCTTATTCTATTTTGTGCTACTATAACAAAATACTTGAGACTAAGCATTTTTTAAATAGCAGATATTTATTTACTACAGTACTGGAGGCTGAGAAGTTCAATTTTGAGAAGCCTACATCTGGTGAGGGCCTTCATGCTGCCTCATCCCATGGTGTAAGGAAAAAAGATGAGATAGCATGTATGAGAGAGTGAGAGAAAATTTATAGCCTCAAACCCTTTTATAAGTGGCATGAATTCATTAATGAAGGTAGAGCCCTGGTGACCTAAACACATCCCATTAGGCTCCACCGCTCAACACTGTTGCATTAAAGATTAAGTTTCCAACACTTACCTTTTTGAGGACACATTCAAATCACAGCATCAAAGTAGACCATATTCTGGATAATAAAACAGATCTTAAATCATTGAGATAATAGAACTCATACATAGTATGTTCTCTGAATATAATAGAATTCAACTAGAAATTCGTAAAAGAAAGATAGCAGGAAAATCACTAAACACTTGGAAATTTAGCATCACTTTCTTAAGAATCTATAGTACAAAGTAAAAATGTCAAGAAAAATTAGAAAATATTTTTAACTGAATTAAAATTCAAATATTACATATAAATGTATGTGATATGCAGCTAATGAAATACATAGAAAGAAATTGATATTAAATGCTCATATTACAAAGGAAGAATGATCTCAAGTAAATAGCCCAAACATTCATCTTAAGGAACTGTAACTAAGCAAATGGAAGGTAAAATGAAGATAGAAACAAAAATCAATAAAATTGTAAATTTAAAATCCTAGAGAAAATTTTAAAAATCAAAAAGTAGTTATTTGAAAAGATTTTAAAAATTGATAAAACTCCACTGATATTAACAGGAAAAAGAAGAGAGTAGACACAAATTACCAATGTCGACAATAAAAGCAGATATTACTACAGAAACCATGGAAATGAAAAGCATAACTTTAAAAAAAATTACCAACAAATCTACACATATATTCAGCAACATAAATAAAATATACCAATTCCTAGAGAACCTCGAACTATCAGAAGTCACCAAAGATACGATAAACCTATAATTATTATATAAATTGAATTTATTCTCACTCTGTCACCTAAGCTGGAGCGCAGTGGTGTGATCTTGGGTCACTGCAACCTACGCCTCCTGGGTTCAAGCAATTCTCCTGCCTTAGCCTCCTGAGTAGCTGGGATTACATGTGTCTGCCATCATACCTGGCTAATTTTTTGTAATTTTAGTAGAGACAGGGTTTCACCATGCTGGCCAGGCTGGTCTCAAACTCCTGACCTCATGATCCACCCACCTTGGCCTCCCAAAGTGCTGGGATTACAGGCGTGTGAACATTTATTCTGAAAAAGAAATCTTCAGTTCTGGATGGTTTCACTGAGAAGTTCTACTAATCATTTAAAGAAGAAATAAAACCAATTTCTTTCAGAAAATAGAAGAGGGGAGAGCACATCACAACTAATTTTATAAAACTATTACTACATGAACAGTATCAAAATGAGTCAAAGGCACTCTGAGAAAGATTAACTACAGAGAAATGTCACTTATGAATTTAGATGCAAAAATACTCAACATTACCAAATTAAATCCAACAATATATAAAACAATACTATATTATAACAAAACAATATTTACCCTATATATGGGAAAATTTTTTAATACTCAAAAATTAATGAGTGTAATCTATCATATTAACAGTCTAAAGAAGAAATGGCACATGATCATATCAACTAATGAAGAAAAGTATTTGACAAAATTAATGATTGATTCATAATAAAAACTAGCAGAAAATAAGAAATTGAAAAAAAATTATCAACCTGATACTAGGCTTCTGGAAAAACAATACCGCTAACATAATTATTAATTTTGAAAGAGTGAATGCCTTCCTCCTAAAATTGAGAGCAAGGCAAAGATTTTTCCTGTATTACTCATATTTAACACTGTACAAGAGGCCTAACCAATGTATTAAAGCAAGAAAAGAAATGAGATGTACAGATTAGAAAGGACTGAATTAAACTGTACCTATCTATATACACAAATTTCCATTCAAAAAACCCATGGAATCTATTAAAAGTAACTCCTAGAAAATAATTAGCTGGCATAGTCACAAAATACAAAGTTAGCATTGTAAAATCTCTCTTATTTCAATATAGTAAGAACAATAAGCAAAATTTATCTTAAATAATATGATTTACATTTGTTCCCCCCAAAAATGAATCAAAATTAGGTATGAATTTAGTTAAAATGTGCAAGATCTATATGCTAAAACATTACAAAAGTTGATGAAATTAATCAAAGAACTCATGCTATGGTCAAGAATGGAAAGACTCTAAATGGATAAAATTCTCTGTTCAAAAGATACAGAGTAATTGAATAAATTAAAGCAAAACAAAACAGGACCCAGCTATATGCTGCTTATAAGAGAATCACTTCAACTTTATGGGCACATCATGTGAAAGTGAAGGAATGGAAAAAGATACTCCAGGCAGAGAGAAGCTAAAAGAAAGCAGTGGTAACTCTCTCTATATATATATAAAATATATACACACACACACATATAAATAAATAAATATATATATATATATATGCAGAATTACCTTTAAGTATCAGAAAAATAGAAGGAGACAAAAAAGGTCATTACAGTATGATAAAGGTGTAAATTTAACAAGAAGATATAACAATTATAAATACATATGTGTCCAACTTTGAAGCTCCTCCTATATATATTAAATATACCAAACAAATATTAACAGATACTAAGGGAAAGAGAGACTGCAATACAATAATAGTAGTGAACTTCAGTATCACTTTCAACAATGAACAGTTATCCAGATGGAAAATCAATAAGAAAACACTGTACTGAAATGGAACTTTAGACCAAGTGAACCTGACAGACACATACTAAACATTTCACCCAACAGTAACATAATATACAGTCTTCTCAAATGCACATAGGACATTTTCCACAACAGATCATATGTTAGGCAGTCAAGCAGATTGGACAAACTGAGACTGAATA